CTGCAAGAGCTTGAATACACCAGTTATGTCAGAGTTTACTCAAGTCCTTTTTTTGCCCATGCCCCCAGTCTGTTTTCTGTTTAGCCAGCCTGTAGTAATAGCTCTGAGAAGCAAAGCTCCTTCCTCTCATTCCTTGTGCATCATACATTCATTAGACTTAGCTCATACCAAGTATCAACATCTGAATGAATAAGCTTATCCTTCAGCCTCATACTCTTCAAACCTGAGAAGCATCAGCTGCTCTCAGTCAAACTATCAGAAAACTCCAGCACCTCCACTGACAAATTCTTCTAATGCTGACATATATCCTGTAAATACAGGAATGGTCACACTGCCAAACCAAAGGTCTACCTGGCCTGGGAGCCTCTTTCCAATAGGAATCAGCAGCAGATACCTAGGGAAGAGTATGAGAACATACAGTGATGATTTTTGCAGAATATCTCTCAGCCCCCAGCAAATTTGCATTTGGGTTCTCCTGTGCCAGTAGTTATGTCTTTATGTTTAGTTGACAACAATGGGATCTTTCATGGATTTTTTTGCTTCTCCTGGACTGCTTAAGTGCTGGGCTCATAGATACTTAGATCATGTTGGAAAGTGAAGAACAATCATTCTCTCTATTCTATTTCTTTAAAACCAAAGACTTACAAGTCATCATTTGTGTGATGACACTTCCACACTTTTCTTACTGCCTTTCTCTGAACCTTCTCCAGTCCTGCACTACCCTTTTTAAGAAGAGGGGACATGAACTCTGTAGGGATTCATGCAGTCTCTTTTGTTCTCTATTTCTTTTCTAACTCCTAACATTCAATTTACATTTTTATTGCTGCTGAGCATTAAACTGATGCTTTCACAAGAACTATTCATTATAATTCCAAGATCTCATTGCTAAATGGTAACATTCAGTTCAGAGCCCACCATTCTACATGCAGAGTTAAGACTGCTTTTTTTTTTTTTTTCCAGGGTATCACTTATATTTATCTACATGGAATGGGTGATATCAAAATTTGCAACACGTTCAAAACTTGAAGGTCAGTGGTAAAATAAATACAAATATTAAAAAATCAGAAATCTTTTTGTTTTGTTAGGAAATACTCATTTGAATCTATTTCACTGAGGAATTTTCCACCAATGACACCACAACCTTGGAGAGTCAAGACAGCTCTATGCGTCATTGGTACCAGTTTCTTCTGAGCAATATCACTACTTCTCTGTGTATAATAAGGTCTCGTCATGGTATCTTAGAGTTACAATTCTTAGGCACAAGGGAATAGAAGAAAATCCCACCTTTCATTAAAAATCAAGCACATTTCAAGCTACCACATGTGTAATAGTTACAGTTTTAAAACGTGATATAATTGCATGGTCAAGAAAAACAGTAACCAGATAATAAGGATTTAAATTTATTTTAGTTTTACATCCATTTTCCCCACCTCATGTTTTTTGAAGCATGGTTTTTAACTAGATAACAGAATTATGATGGTGAACATGAGACTCTTACATATACTTAAAGTCTATCAAATTTATTTAGAATGGTGATGTGTGATATATTACTGGAATACAGCCCAGAGTTAATTGGGTTTTTCATTTTTTAAGGATTCTGGAAAAGCTGTCAAATGAATCATATCATCAAGACCATACTAGCTGTTGAAAATATCTTGGTGAGAAAAGATTTAACACATCCAGGACAACACCAAATAGACTATAAAAAGTTAATAGCAATAGCATGGTTGTTAAGACTCTGATGTTGGAAATTCCTATTTAAGACTTGGTGGGGATATTATCTCATTACCCAAATGAGCATTCTGACCCATGGACTCTCTGCTAGTCACAAAAGCATTGCTTACGTCTCTCTTTATGGAGCTGTTCCTCCACCACATATAGCGACCCTGATATAAAGCACTCTGAGTTGGAAAAACAAAGTATGAAAAATATGAGTATTAGGAAAAAAAAAAAAAAAAAACGCTTTAGATAAGTTTATAGTGTATATATGCAGGTACAGATGACAGTTTGCCTCTGTGTCTCTGTGTTTTTGTTTTCGCAGTTGTTGTTTCCATGTAGTTAGATGTGTGAGCAAATATATATGGACCAGGAAAGTAAATACAGTGGTTTATACGTGCAATTAGAAATTACTGAACATTCAGAACATACCTAGTTTTAAGTCCTGAGGGCAAGTTCTACCATCATCTAAGTATGCCTAACTAGCTAAAAGGAAACCTCTCAGAATTAGTGGTTGTTTTACAAAACTCTTAATTTTCTTGTTGAGAGTATTTGGAAGTATCAATTTTACAACTAGGCATTCCAAAATATTATTACTTTAACTTCAGGTTGAGAATAAATATCTCCTTTTCTATGTCCTCAAAAACTGTAACCATTATAAGCTAATATGTATGCACAGATCCAGGGTTCAAAATGTCTGTTATTTACATATTTTCCCTGGCACAACGTGATCTACTTTTAAATCACAACAAAGGAAAGCTTTTTTAGGTGATCATTACATTACAGGGTGTACAATAAATGTAGAACATCTTGTTTCCATCCAATATTCACATATGACATCAGAAGCAGTGGATATGATTTTATCCTGTACAAACACAAGAATTTGTATTTCAGGCCTTTTATTTCCAGATGACCTAATAAAAGGCAGATTATCTCTTACCACACTGTATTCCTCATTCTCATTTATGAAAGCAACCCTTGTTTAATCTCTCCGTCAATTTAATTATGAAGTGTGAAATTGTCACATTTTAGTACATGTTATAATCCTCTCTCTGATAGCTTCATGATTTGCACTTTTAATAGTGCATCACTGGAGAGAGGTCGATGTGAAGACCAGTAAGCCTAGGCAAAGCATTCACTCTTTGGACCCAGTGGTGGGTAATCACGTAGCTTGATAACCCCACATACTAGCCAAGGCAAACACCACACATCTTTTTTGTGCTGTGGGATCTGCCTGCTCACCACCTGCCTGTCTCCTGAAAGAAAACTGGTGAGTACACAGCATGCTGTGCTGGGGCTAGGAACAAGGACTACACTCCTGCCCATACTGTGGGGCTGAAATCTCATTTTAGTGAGACTCGTTGCAGGGGAAAAATACAAGTGCCCCACCCCAAGCATCCTGTCCTGTTTCTTCTCTTCTGTTTAAACACCCGCGTGTGGGAATACGTTAAGAGATTTCTGCAACCACCTTGTTTGCTAGAAATATCTTTAGCAAGTCAACCTGAAACTAGCTGCTGCAGTATTTTCATTAACTGTTTCATTGCTGGGAGTTTATTGATATCGGTTTAGTGGGTAAAGGTGAGAAAATACTTGAACTTCATTTGCCCAAGCCTCCTTATTTGTTCTTAGGTCACTCCTGGTTTACCCTTCTCACCACTGCTTCTGTGGTGGGCTAAAAAAGCACTATCAACATTCAGGCACGTATAACATGCAGCAGTATTTATAAAACTCTTCTCTGACTAGCCGGTGCCTCCTGCTCGCCCGCATTTCTTTGGACATCCTCCAAATTGCAATACCATTACTAGTATACTTAAGCTCATACAAAGTTCTCAGCCATTTCCTCTCAGGTTGAGAGGTTGTTTTGAGGTTGTTTGAGGTTCTTTTGAAATTGCCAGTGTTGGGCAGATAATTGTAACTGAAATGGCCCTGTATATGTTAGTGTTTGTGCTTTCTGACCCTTCCAAAAGCTGCCAAGAACACCAAGTACTAAAGACTGAGAAACAAGGGAAGCTTGGAAGTGTAAAACCCCAAATATTCATTTTCACTTTGGATTTATACAGAAGCTTCAGTCGTTTCACATTTTGCCAGGATCACTTCAGTGTGTACATATTACAGATGGTCAATGTGTAAAATAAAACTTTTATTTGTAAGTCCCAACCTTGTACTGAAGATGCAAAAGCATCACTACCAGGAAATCTGGAAAGAATGCTTCAGATAGGGCTATAACACCCTACAGCTCTGTTGATGTAAAAAAGGATTCTGGCTTTTCCATCATTAATATGTGGCAGTAAATATGAGCAGCACTGCTAGCTGGTGAGACACGTGGGAAGGGTTGCCAAGGCACTAACACTGCATATTCCTTACACTTCAAAAATCCCAAGGATTGTCACAGGGGCGATGTGTACAACCAAATTCTACAAAATAGGAGTATGTTCATCTGCAGATTTTAGGGTCTTTACAGCCATGTATCTCCAGGACCTATGTGATACAGGTACTAGTCGTTCTAAAAGCAAGCTGGAATGCTCTTCCCCTCCTTCAAAATACACTGAGCTTACTTGTGGAGGCAAAATTTGTGTTGCTGCTGAAGTGAAATTTTATTGGATTATTTGTTAGTTCAGAATGACTTAGCATTTGGCCTTTTGGTTGGACTTTTTCACAAGTGAATTTCTCGTGTGGCTGTGAGAAGGTTTTATGCAATATAGGAAACAGCTTGTAAACTATTTTGACTGAAATTACAGATCTATGAGTGTGTCATGTTCTGCATGTCACTATATAGAACAGCAGAAAAATACTGTTTGTTTTTTTTGGGTTTTTTTTTGTGTTTTTTTTCTATTACATACGCAAGCGTACAGTTTAGGAATGACATAAAACTACCTTTGCCTTTTGGGATGAAGGAAAGGAATTAATCATTTACTTCTCGTGAGACAGTGTTACAGAGTTGAAGGGCACAGAAGTATTAAATGTGCTAGACAAAATAACAAACTAAAAATGATGTTGTAGAATATGCGTGACTTTCTGTTTTAAAACCTAACTAATACCAACACACAAGATTTTAAATCTACACATAATATAATAGAGCATGTGAGTTTTATCTGGTAGTATCTATACACAACACTCTGTGCTATAAAAATACATTACTTGGAACAAGATGCCCACAATTCACTGTTTTCATATTACATGACAAAGTCAATGCTGTTGAAAAAAAAAAAAAAAGCACACTATTTTCAGATGGAGCATACACCATAGCCCGTCTCCTATATCAGACAAAGATCAAATTGTCCTGGCAATTAACTATAACAAATTATTTCAGGCTTAGTGAAAGACAGGAAAGCTTCAAAATGACAGCACTTCTACCTAACAAATTAAAAGACTGTGCTTGAACATACTTTATACAGGAAGGGAAAAACAACTTTTGCAGTAAGCTTGCTAATAAGCAAGTGCCATAGGGGTTAAAACCAACTGGTAGTTAATGCCAAAATGTAGAGCCAGCTTCTAGCAAGCAGGGTAGGAAGTAACACCTTGACCAGCAGTGAAGTCCAAAGCAATCCTGCCACACACTCAGTGATGCCTGGAGCTCATCCCAGTTCAATTGCATCAGCTGTACTTGGGATGGGGAGGGAACAAGGGTTGTATCAGCACAATAAAATCACAGCAGGTTGGCTTTCCTTCCCTGATTTTGATCCCATTTCCACATGGACAAGAGGACAGCAAGATTGCAATCTTATAGAGTTCTATATGTGTTGCCCAAAAGAAAAAAATATTGTCCAAACTAATTCTGAAAATAATTTGTTGAGAACACAAAGGTCACGTAGAAATAGCTTAGTAGCACAAGTTTATGTTTTCAAAGCCTTCATTTGGAGTTTACAATTTCTGTCCTGTTAAAACAGAGCACACTATTTCTTTCCAGTTGATGCAATCTTTACATGAGATTAAGCATAAGCAAACAAAAAGTGAACAGTGGTGGCAGTGGGAAGAGCTCTGAAGAGTATAACACCCAGTGTGCAGCTTCCTTCACCAAGGTAAGGCTCTCGTTTGCCAGCTCAGTCCACACTACAGAAATATTCCTGAATTCTTCATGGCTATGGAGCTCTCACATAGCAACATCCATGATCAATGCTCTCTCTCAGTGCTGGCTGGACCCCACAACTCCTCGCCAAGCCAACAGACAATGACCTGACCTCAGTTATTTGAGCCTCCACCACCTTGGCCTTGGCTAGATGATACATCTTGGGCAAGAGACCTGCAGCACTCTGGTGGCTCCAGCTAGCCAGGAAGACAGCAGATCTCTTCCTCCGCAACAGAAGCTATTGCAAGCACAACCCACTGGTTTTAGGATTTCTCCAGCAGCTTCCCACAGAATGATGAATGTGTTAAGTTTTACTGTGTAAGGCATTTCATGGTCTGTCACTAAGGTCAATACATTTCCAGAGAAAAGACCATCAACAAGAATTATACAATGAATACTACATGGTAAAATTAAAACTCGCAGTGGGGAGGAAAGTTTAGGGCTTTCCTGAGGACCTAATCAAAAATAGAAAGTGCTTGACACCCTTTTCTCACAAATGCAAGGCATATTTCTTCATTTATATATACAGTTGCATATTACAACATAAGTTACTGGACAAAAATCATTAAACAAACCCATGATATTCTAAAATGCACATTTCTTCTTCTGTAGAGTGGATTGAATATAAATAAATAATTTTTAAAAAGGCATTTGAGTAGTCATGCTTTGCTTATTATACTTACAATAAGGTTTTCAGATACAGCAGTGGTACACCTATTTTGAATAGCAAGCATTTGCTTTATTCTGTTTTTCTACAATTTCTATGCAGGATTTCTTGACACCTTAAAAGTTATACACTTGGTTCTAGGAAGAAAAATTAGCTTCACTCAGAGACTAAGTAATTCAGATATATGGCATGCAGCACCTAAAACAAAAGCCTAATATCAACAAACTCAGAAGTAGATTTTATGACTGTTAAATATGCATGTTGCAAAAGATCAGATTTACTGTTTTGCTCATATTGTGTTAGCCATTTATAACATTTGTGCACTGAGCAACATAAACTTATTTTATGGTTCTTTCATCCTTTCACAAAGGATTGTAGACTACTAGACAAGCAAATTCAATGTAGAGCTAACACAAGGTCTTTCTGGGATATAGGCACTGCACATGCAGGGGTATTATTTCTGATGGATACTGCTCTTTTAAAGCCTATTCCTGATCCATTAATTTGTGAATTACATGGCAGAGTAGAGATTGTGAAGGGCTTAATTTCAGTTATATGTTGATCTTTTTCTCTTGAAAAAGATTTTTATCCAAAAAGTAAGTAGTAGGACTAAAAGTAGCATGTTCGCTTAGATTGACTCTGACGGGTCTGACAGAGTTTAAATGTTTTATTCTTATCAAAAGGTGAGCTGTGGGGCCCATCCCCACCTATGAATAGGAATCTTCATTCAAAAAAGAAAAACAGCAAGGAACAATTCTTAGGCTTGTTTCATTCATTATATGGTTACAAAAAGCAACGCAGTTGCTGTGGAATAAAATTTACAGTAAAGAATGAAATACAGTAAAGAATTTATGCAAACAAATTCTGCGTAAAGATTAAAATAAAAAACAACCCAGAAAAACTTTCTGGCAACATACTGGAAAACTGGCTTAATGGGAACCACAATGCAAAGCCTTCTACCTCTACCTTGTTAGAAGTCACTACTGACAGATTACTTTAAAGTTGATGAGAAATTAGTCTAAAGGTTCATTTTACTCAAAAAGAGTATTGGTACTTTTGCTCATGACTGTAAGAAGAGATGAAACAGTGATGAGCAGCTTTATGAAAGTATTCTTACCCCCAACATCTAGGCATGTTTTTCACTAGATGCTGTTCCTCCCAAGGAGTGAAGTATAGGGAAATTTCCACTACCATCATAAGTCAGTTTTATAGATAATACCTCAATGTTTAGAGCTATTATTTATCTCTCCTCTCCTCTCCTCTCCTCTCCTCTCCTCTCCTCTCCTCTCCTCTCCTCTCCTCTCCTCTCCTCTCCTCTCCTCTCCTCTCCTCTCCTCTCCTCTCCTCTCCTCTCCTCTCCTCTCCTCTCCTCTCCTCTCCTCTCCTCTCCTCTCCTCTCCTCTCCTCTCTCTTTTCTTAAAGCAAGGAGAAAAAAATCCAACAGCCTTCAAAAATAAAGGGGAGAAACTGCTAGTAAGCTGAAAAAATTATGATAAAATTCTGACCTCGGGAGGTTTTGGATACAAGAGGCAGCTGTGAATATTGCTACTATAAAGAATTTGGCCAAGTGCTTGCAGTACGATATTTAAAGAAATCCAGATTAGCTGCAATTAAGAGATCTGTTTATTGCTGACAGGGTGTGGCAATATGTAAGAAACTCATGGTATCCTGAGAGGGAGTTTCTTAACTTCCTTCTCATTATATCAATGGTTTCTGTTTCACAACAAAAAAGTGTGAAAAAAATGCTGACAACATTTACGTTCAAATTTGTCTTGCAAATAATACTGGTCCTCAGTATCAGCTAAAATGCAGCTAGCATGACCTCTGATAGGAACATAATCTTCCTTAACTCCAAAAGAGCAGGACCCATGGAATTCTTCCACGCATTAACCCAGAGGCATTACCTGATGAGGTGGAGTTAGATCTCGGTTTCTTGAAGTTTTCACAACATTTTCAGGCATTACAATGGATGGTAACGTTCTTGCCATAAGCGTAATTGTCATCAAGAGATGAGACATTAATTTAACACTAGTATAATAATTCTTTTATCTCTTTTAATAAACTTATGAAGTGAAGAGCAAGGTCTTGTTCAGAATTGAATCCAAACCAGCCTGTCTCATAACATTGTGTTTTGGCTTTCTAAAGAGACTTCTTTACTGGTCAGCAAAACTGTGACAGCTGGAAAAAACTTTAAAAGATTCATTATGAAGGTAAAACTGTCTGAAGTCATGTAATTTTCTGGAAACAAGCACACATATGAAATTGTAGGGAGAAATGGGAAAAGCTAACTAAGCATGCCTGAAAATATTTTATATGGAAATTGTGGATTCTACACCACCTCTGAAAAAAAAAAAACAATCAGTATACAAACAAGCCAAATGCATTGACCAAAGGTCTTATTTTATTGGCAGATTGGATGGATTCATTTCTTCAATATACATTTTCTGTCCCCAATCACATATTTAAAACTGATCTAGTTAAATTGTTTTGATATCCCAATTTGAGGATCAGTCACAAAGCTAATTTAGTACTATTTAATAACCTACTAGACTTCATCTGAGCACAGTAACAGACTGCATGTACACTCTTAGGTCACAAGCAAACCTATGAAAATTAATTCATTTAGACCGCTGTGAAATTGAGTTGTTCGATCTAGTGATTTCTGCCTTGTGTTTATGATGGGTTGCTAGAATGCACACAGATTTTTCTCCACTGAAACGGGGTGGAGACATGATATTAAAGCACTGTAACTCAATTTCATGTCTGACTACATATAAAGAATTGAACTTACATGGCTTGAAGAGAGTTTCACATTGTCAAGAAGGCTATGGTCTTCCTTAGGCAACAGATACTTTTCCAAAAGGCAGAATGTGTTTAGCAATTTTCTGCTCTAAGGCTTTGCATACACATAAGTGTTACACTGCCCGCTTTAACTATACCTGTACAGTTAAAATGCACTCATTTTAACTATCTTTGTGTAGTTAAATGGTACATCTGGTTTTGTGCATTGCAGTTATGCTGATATTAGCACAGCCATACTGACATGGTTACTTCTATACAGATGAGGGACTGCTTCGTCATTATCAGGCATCTTCAGCCCTGTGTAATTATATCCCCACTTGTGCATTGTAGCTGTTGTCAAAATAGTTGGACCAGCATAAAGAAAAAAGCTATTTGTTAATTAAGGAAGGTCATTCTGGAACAATCGGTGGTACCTTTCAGGGGGCATGTAATCTAGCTTTCTCAGCCATAACCTGATACATTTATAAGCCTCTTTACAGGTAAGGAAAGTGAAAATGAGAAGCTGTTTCACTTGCAAGCAGCAGGCAGTATCATTCTGTTACAAATGCAGGAAAAATATGTGGAAGGTAGCAGAGAAAAGACAGCTAAAAGAGAGACTTTGCTCTCCAAAATGCAGAAATGACTCACCTCCACAGAGCGCATCATTATGAGATGAACTATCTCTACAAGAAATTGCTGACCTAGTGTGGGAAACTAAAAAATGTCTCGTACTCGATTCCTGAAATTCTTCTTGTTTCAGGAATTAAATGTTGACAGCTTAAGTTTTTGCCCACATTGAAATAGCTGGCAGGTTTTTACTCTTCAGAAACTAAGTCCAAATATTTATTTAAATTAAAAATCTAAAATGGCTCTTAACTTGTTGAAAATATGTGAAAAGCAGATTCACACTGTTGCTCTTTACTTCCAAGACAACATCTAGTGTTTGTGTTGTTTGAAGGCATGTATCTGTGTTTGAAGACTGTAGAACTGTGTGCTGCTGGTATAATGTATAGGATTTTTAAAATAGCATGGGTGTCTACTGCATGCACTTGACTTTAGTGCCAAGACTAACCGGTTTTGAAGTATAACAGTGAAACAGATATTGAGACCATCAACGTTTTTCCCATTACTATACTAAAGAGGCCATTAGGATAATGACAATCACCCCAGAAGAGCACTGACAGATTCCCATGCTATCCCACTTTGACCAGAAGCTTCGTGTGCACTGCTCTGAATTGCAACAGGATCAGACTCCCCACTACAGTCTCTGTTGTCCCAGCCAACTACTGACAAGCAGTGTGGTTGAGGAACTGGCCCTTTTCCAGCTTCTAGAACTTCCTCTTTTCTCCAACGAGCAGAAGAAAATATCTGAAGGATGCATCCAAGCTCCAGAAAATCCTGTAGGTGCTTTGGGGAAGAGGAGAATCAGCTGGGGTTTCGGAGTCAAGCAAAGAGAAAGGAGTAGGGTGGTCACCAAAGAGTCCACAGACTACACATGTGCAGATGTGAAGCTGCATTCAGTGTTCCTCTGAAAAAGTGCACTTGTCTTTCCCCTCCTGGGACATCTGTCTGTGTACAAAGACCAAGAAAAATGACTGGGGAGTCAGACTTACAGGTCTGAAGATACTCTGGCAGCAGGACAGGCAGCAGAAACATGATAAGAAACTGGTAGAGTCATGATAAGGGAGGGACAATGTAGATTAATGATGCTGTCTTGAGAAGGAGCCGTGTGAAGGAAGTTGAGGAAGTAGGAACCTCTCTGAACATCAGCTGATGAGGACTTCCTCTGATATTCTTCACATCTCCTTAGAGGCCAGGAAGGAAATGTCCAATAGCAACTAAGATCCATAACAGATAAGAATGTGGCTTTATTAGGCTAGCACTCAGGAACTGTCTTTCTATGAGATTTTATAGTGTAAGTTTCAAATATAGCACAACATTCTGCAAAATATAGAAGTCAGATGTACCAGCCACCTAAGGCATATATTCATACCTTCTGCCACTTTGTGGAAAAAAAAAAAGGGGGGGGAGGCTGGAGGGAGCAGGCTGTTCATCTAGTCCAGGTGGATCATCTCAGTAGATCATTTGGTGTCTGTGATATCCAAATCATGGCCTATTTATTTTAAATTCCAATGAAGGGCTAATTAGTGCTAATTATACTAGCAGTGACGGTGACGTGGCCATTCACACAAAGAACTTGGC